TACTGATCTCATGAGGAATGATACCTGGCTCTTTGATAGGCTCATCTTTTAACAAAGAAATATCAGAAATTCTGATTAGATCGCGTGAATGATGACAGCATTTTAGCCCTTCCTAATAAATATTTGCCTGCATCTTAAAGATGACTAACTGAGAATCTGAGATGATTTCATAACTCACTGGATGACTTTGAGCAAACTGAAAACAAAATAAGGGCCTGGCTGTTTTCTAAAGATCTAAACATGAGTCCCAAGTCAGGTATTACCTAAAGCAGGAAGCTGTGGATAGGGATGTTTTTTCTGAATACTCCTGCATAATTTATTAGGATAAACTCAAGATCCTAATTTTGATCCTTAAATGCTGCTATAGTTTGCAGGTCAGGCAAAGATGTCTGATATAAAAGATCTTAAACCATTTGACAAATAAAGCACTGCTTGAGCTTTCAACTTTCTTGGCTTTTGGACTGTAATCCCTCAATTCAAAGAATCCTTTATCACTAAGCAGCAAGGGTGCTAGCTTTGACCTCACAATTTCAGAAGCTAAATATTTTTTCAAACATTACTGAAACATATCCTTATATCAACACGAATAAAGCACAAACTTCACATGTATAACTATCATCTCACATCCTCACATACAATGAATAGATTTTAAAGACAAGAAAAGACCATTGTACTCTTCTAATACAACTCTATATTCAGAAAATCTCATTCAATGTTTTCTGCATCAGTGCCCTAAATTTTGCCTGAATATAAGATAGCTTAAAAACAATACCCAGTTTAATCTGAAGAGTTCAAGCAAAGAATTCCTCTCAACTCTACATTAAGCTACATCAATGGCTAATTACCTTCATAAGTACCCTATTTCTAATCCAATATGGAACACAGTGAAGTATATATGAATTTCTCACTCTAATAATCCTCTTAGGGACCCATTTTTCCATAAGTAGAAGGTTATTCAGGAAACAAGACAGAAGATCTCATTTTACAGATGGGTGTTGCTAGCTGATGCCAGGCTGGATTTTTTTGGTTTTATTTTTGGTGTGGCTTTTTTTTTTTTATTATTATCTTGACAATGGAGACACTTGTTCTCAGATAAGGCAAATCCAGTGCAAAATATAAATAGCCAAATGAAGTAGCCAATGCACAACTAACCCGGACTAATTGCTAAAATGCACTCATGAAGCCATCCAAGTATACAGACAAACTCCACTCTGAGTTATTTTTCCACCTTTCACGTAAGCTACTGTATGACTACTTTTTCCTCGTGGAAGTTACAAAGTTACACTAGCTTAATCTTCCTATTCAGAGGTTAAACTTATTGCTTAATTTTCAAACTTTCAGGTAAAATAAAGCCATGGGAAATGCATGTAGCATGGGGGGGAAACATGATGAGTTAGATCTTTGTGCAGTTGCAGAACTACCAGCTTGTTGGGATTGTGGAAACAAATGGACTAGGAGTTGCAATGAAGAGATGCAGACTCTTCAGGAAGGACAGGATGGGAAGGTAAGAAAGAAGAGTTGCCCTTTATGTGAGAGGGCAGCTGGAGTGAACGGAGCTGTGCTTGGGGATGGATGAAGTATCTCAAGCCCAAGTGAAATTGCATCTGGTCAGGGATGTCTAAGATATAAATTGCTTGTAAAAAGATTTTTTTGAGGTCTGTACTTGAAATTTAGAAGCTGGAAATGTTTACATCAACTGGAAATGTTTACAAAATTTGTTCCTAATGTTCAAACAGACGTGTAGAGTCAAAGCTGCCTCCATTCACATCCAGCTCAGAGAAGAATTATATAGTAGCAGCTGTATTTTCATGCAACACCTGAGTTCACCTCATGTATGTTTAATATGTAGAAAATGCTACCATTTTACATTTTCACTGCTGCTCTTATGTTTTATGGAGTTCACAGAAAAAAAACAGGAAGGGTAGTGAAAGTGATGTTCTCAGTGACTGTAGGCAAATCAACTTGTGTCATACAGTAAGTCTGAAATACTGAAATACTAAACAGAACCCCAGAAAGACAGTATTTGTCATGACAGTATTATCCTTCCTCTTACAGAGCTCACTGCCCCCCTCTTCAACCTGACGACCTTAACACTGCAAAATCTGAGTAGAGGATGGATGTGACATCTCTCTGGAAAACAGCATCCAAGACACAAGTATTAATGATTGCTTTTAAAGGTGCCAATACAATGATAGTTTTCAACGCATTTTCATCTTCATGTACCCAAAGCCAGTGCGCTCAGGTACATCGATGCCTTAAGATTTAACCAGAAAGTGTTGAGAAAGAAGTTGCTGCAGCATGGTATAGATAAGCCTAACTCTGAAGCAGATACCAGTGTTTCATAGTGCTTCAAGAAAATAAACAATAGGATAGGCAAGGCAGACAGAATAAGGCAGAGTAAAAAAACCATAAATATTAGTAACTCACCTTTAACTCTGATTAGCTGCAAATGTTCAGCAACTAAGAACAATTTTGCAATAATCCTTATTTCTAAGTTGGAACTGGTGTTAACAAAAAACCCCCTGTAGTTTAAGGAAAAAAACCTTCCTGGGCTGTAGAGTCAGAGAGAGAAAAGCAACAGGATTCTCTCCTTTTTCAGTCTTGCCTTTCTCCTGACCCCAACACTCACAGCTCCCAAGGATGAGCCTCTCTAAGGGAAAGTTATCCTGTCCTTTTGGTTACTCTTCCTATCCCTCCTGCTCTACAAGGCATTTGTTTTAACATGGTTTCTCCTTGTTGGTACTTATAAAAACGACGATTTTCTTGGATTGGTTTGTTTTTAAACAAAAATAATTGCAATTCAGATTTGTTGAGTTAGTTTTTACAGAAATCTATGGGAAAACCAACCAAATGTCATAAAAATGACACCACAAACACAGATGAAGACACAAAACATCTTATGTATATTAATCTCATTACCCAAAGTCTCATTGTTAAGCCAGCCTGTGCAGTGCTATAGAGAGGAAGGTGAGAACTTCCTTTGCTTGATGGGAATAGGTGAACCACTTGAGCACAGAAGCAAGTCAAAACATCAGTGGAAAAAACAGGAAACAGATGGAGGCAGGGAGGGTGGTCTTGAATCACCCTTTCCTGGTTTTCATTCAACAGCATAGACCAACCTAATGAGAAGCAAGTTAAAGAATTATTCACATGGAGTAATCCTCCCATAGAGCATCTTGCCTGGCTTCAGCCACAGCACTTTTAGAACTAACTGAAGAGAGTCCAATAAGAGCAATAAGAAAAGATGACCAATAGAAAGACCAAACTGTATTTTGCAAGGATTTGGAAATGGACCAGGGCTTCGAATAAAGTAAAGTTTTAAACAGAAGGTTAAGACAGCATTAAAAAATGATTAGCATGTCAGTAGAGTCTGAGCAGACAGCTCCTTAATGACACTGGGCAGGGAGTTTAAAGAAAAATACTTCCAAGAAGTAAATGGATATTCTTTCTAGCAGAATGATTTCCTTAAAGAAAAATGTCCAAATTAGGTAGATTTTTTTTTTTGTTTCAAAAAGAAGCAGTTTGAAGGTAAAATATACCTACCCAAAGCAATTAAGATGAGAACAAAGAGGAAAAGAATACTCCAAGAGTCAAGTATGTAAGACTGAAAGAACTATTCAGTCAAGGTATAATCATCCATTTCCCCCTGAATTATATTTATTTAATACAAACATAAAGGTGTGCAGAAGAGATGAATGGGTTACAGGAGAAGGTAAAGTGAAAGTTCTAAAATATTGTTCTTTGGAGAACATCACCATTATCAAAGAGAGATGTTTGCTGCAAGTCAGTCTTGAATTCAAACAGTCACCTGTTGAGTTGTGCATGGCTCTATGAGCGACTACTAGAAAAGGAGAAACAAAGGTTACAGAAGGAATATTCTATGACAGTAGTGCTTGCCAGACTCCAGTCTCTCTTTTAGCAGCTGTAGAACTTCAGCCAGACCTTTCACAGGTGACAAAGAAAGAAATTTTTAGATAATTTTTACTTTCAGACTGGAGTCTTCCTCTCCAACTCTGGGCTTTACTCTGAAGGAGAGGAGGAAACCAAGCTTCCCCTGGTGTCTCATACACTTGCCACGACATGAAAAGCAAACCCCATGTCAGATTTTGCTATATGAACAAAATTGTTCATAAATTTGTAAGTTCTACCAAATGCCTGTCTCATTCCGTTGCCCCAAGAGTCAGTTCTATCAATTTATTTGCTTTTATGAAACTACTTATTTATGAATTCTTGCTCAAAACAACTGAAAATCTTAAAGACAAGCGAAAAGAATCCTTGTTAAGTTTACACAGCATTACATGGTTCCACTACAAAAATAAGAAAGCACTTGAATGCAGTATTTTGCATCACAATCCCAGCTCAACAACTCTGGGGCACAAACTGGGATATTTTACAATTTTAAATGCCATTGCAGAAAACCAGAACATATTCTTTCAGTCATATTTCCTCACCTAGCATATACATTTATAGATAACCTCTGCACTTTCCTTTGGTCACTTATCACGCCCTGATGCTAACTGAGAAATAATTCAAAAAGAAGACTTCCTATTTTATTATCCATCTCACTTCACAAAGTAAGCAGATTTCCTCTAAGGCCTCACAGGAAAAATGAAGAGGACACACTTTGTTTCAGCTCGTCATGACAGGCATAAGATGTTCCTCTAGGCAACCCTTGCTAGGGGCACAGCAATTTTTTTCAGAGGTATAACCTGATGGATGCATAAAATAGGACAGACTGAGACCAGATCTTTTAAGAGGAAAAAAAGATTAGTGGGCTTCAGGGAAAATGGTATTTCAGGCTACCTGTGTTTTTAAAAATTGTAGTTGGGAATAAAAATTAAAGATAATGTGGAGAAAATATTATACTATCTGCCACAGTTCATTAAAGTACCATGCACAGAGCAGGCAGGTACTTCAGTAACTGAACAGATTCTGTTCCTCTGTATTTTACTCTCATTGAGAAGATGACTTCAATGACTTCTAGTGTATTGCTAACATACCGTTCCTGGCTCCCTTCCGTGATGTGGTAGAGACGATTGGCACCTCCATCAGCACAAGCTCTCAGGGCAGCTGCAAGAGAAGAAAGAGAACATCAATGCATTTGCATTATAAAGAAAAAAAAACCACAACCAGTTACTTCATTATTGACAATGCTGTATAAACTCAAATGTTCATGGTGGCATGGGGAATAAACTTGAGATCTCATACGGCTTTTAGCTTCCTATACATGACTGCTTCCCCTATTTTTATCAGACTGGTGCCAATGTTCATCTGCTTGGGCCACTGTACTTGCAAATAGCTTATTTCTATCCTAACCTACTGCCCAGACAGCTTAGACTACATGAGGGGCTAGTATTCAAAACCTGAAAGGGCCCATCCTCCACCTATGGGCATGTATTTGTCACGAAGTGGGAACTTGCACTGGAAACCTAACTACCTCCTCATCCAGGCAGAAGGTTCACAATGGTGGTTCTAAAACAACCTGCATAACAACTGGGAAAAAAACCCCCACATAACCAAGAGTTCATCACGACAATACCCATTTTCTCTTTTTTTCCCCTCCTATGACACAAAAATGGTAACTCTGTTACAGTTTCTACATTGTTCCACAGACTGTTTGAATCATCTGATATAAAGCAGGTGGGTTAGGTCTTGGCTTTACTATCTTGAACTATCCTGATACAAAATCACAATAATTTTCAGTGCTTCCACCTAACTTGGGGACCTCAAAGAGCATGTGCCACTAGTTCCAGCTGATTTAAACAAGCGCAGACATGCTGTTCTCTTGTGATCCCTTTGTTTATAGACTTAAGACAGAGAAAAGAGACAAGTCTAACGCTATTATTACAAAATCAAACATAAATTGGTATATTTTATTCATAAGCATCCCCATTAATCATCATTTAACTAACACACAGTTCTTTCGTGAGATTTTAAAAACCTGATAAGCTATTAAGGATTGAAAATGACCATCTTGTCTTAGCAGTCTTTATCAGTTTTGCTCTGAGATGCACAAGTCAGATAACTGCAGCACACAAGATAAAAGGAGCTGTCGCTTCCACAGTAGTGCAGAGCGTTCCTTCCAGGCAAAGACAGACTGACTGCTAGTTCTGAGAGGGCTGAAAGTCACAGGGCCAGGGCCAGGGGCTGGAGGAGAGAAAAGGGAAAAAGAGGAGAGACAAAGAAAACAGCCTGCCAAAGTTTTGTGGGAAAAGGTACAAACAATCACATCAGGCACTTCTTGCTGCTGAGAATCCAATTTTCAGCTAAAGCCACTTTCCTTTGGTGTTTATTTCTCAGTCAGAACCATCTATCAGAAGTGATACAAACCCATTATCTTTCCTTTTGGTGTGCATTAGGTGGGCAATCCAGCCCTCCCCCTAGCTTAGCCATCAACTTAGCCATCAACTTAGACAGCCTATACAAACTGGGACAACCAAGTTCACCTCTGTATCTGCTCTCAAGTCACTCTTTCTTATGTTACTGCGGAACTCCCACCATGGGGAATGTTCTGTATGGGTATATCCACCACGCAGTACCATGTGACCTTGGCTGAGGCATTTTGGGGGGAAAAAAAAAAGGAAGGAAATAGGGCAACACAAAATCTACCAGTTCATCACAGGGAACTTTAGGTACTTGAGCTTTTTCCTGCAGACTGAAACAATGTGCAGGGCAGGAGAATGAGCACTGTACTCCTCTGTATTGTTTCTAGCACTGCTCTGCTCTAGGGATCCTTGCTCTCTCTTGCCCATAGTATTATGGTACCCACTATGGCAAGCCCTACTACTCTCAGCCTTCTTGTACAGACCATGCTCCTCTCCGTTTCCTTATCCTACTTCTACTCCTTCCAGCCTCCATCCAAACCCGTATTAATGAGACAAGGTCAAGCAGATTTGATCCTGACAAATTTCATTAGGTGAGATCATTTCCAAATTATGGTAGCTGGCCAGCCATTTGCCATGGTGATTCACTGCTTCAGGTAGGTTCCTTATCCATTCTTATGAATACAAACAACACAAGAACACCATTTTTGCCTGCTGTGTTTGATGGGATGATTTTAACTTCTCTCACTTGAGGTTACAGCTAAAAATGGGTTGATGTACTTTCTTTATCCTGGGCATATTTGTTAAGTTCTCTCAGGGAGTTCAGCTCACACAGAATATATTAATGGCCCATTGCAAGAAGAGTCTGTAATACCTGTCCTTGAATTAGTTATCCTGTCTATCGGCTTATTTAGCAGATAGAAGGCATCTAAGCAAGGCCTAGGATCTAGGTAATTACAGAATCTTTTCTCTCCCCGTGAGCTACAAAAGCAATTAATCAGTTGAGACACTTTTTATATCCAAAACTGTAAGAGGGCTGCCGAAAAATTATTTTCTAACTTCAGGTACATAAGCTTCCTAAAGGATGCTTCCCAGGCCAAGGACAGTCCCAGCCTTTTCCTTCTGAGAACAGTGAGTTTTATATTTATTATCCCACATTTAAAAAAAATAAGTGGCTTACAACTTCTGGAAACAAAAAAAAAAAAAAAAAAGAAAAAAGACAGGACGAGATACAGAAAAAGAGATTAAAGAGTCTATTATCTGTCTCAATTACTTTAAGACAGCCAGACTGTCTTTAACTATTGCAAATTCTCTCAATGGACTTACCGCAAGTGAAGCCTGGCCTAAGATCTCTTCATCTGATCTTACTATTTTGAAACAACATGACCAAAAAACCCAAACCAAACTAAGCATTATAAAACAAACCAGTCTTCAATCAGTCTGGTACATGTAAAACAACTGAAATTCTCCCAAAAACATGAAGGTACCTAGTAACAGGTCTGTGACACTTGTACGTAGTACACATGGATATGCGGCTACTATTTGATATCTCAAATCAAGAGTTGCCTTATATAACTGCTCTTTAAAGCTGCCTCCCCCACATTTATTCTTATTTATAAGAAAAAAATACAAAAATTAAACTTCTGCAGCATTGTCAAGTTATTTAGAGAAACTATTTATGAGCAAGCTAATAACTTACACTGGAATGAACCAAAGTCCCAGGTGCAGGGGCAGGAACTAGCAGGTAATTAACAGATTGGCCAGAGGCCAGTAAATCACAATATTTCTACAGCTAGGAACAAAGCTTTGCTTTATAAAAAGTAATGATATATACTAACTGGAAGAACTTGTATCATTATTATCTGAAAGCGTTTAAGGAGATAGCAATTCTAAGCTTAAAGTTTGGCTGGAGATTCTCTATGAAAAAATAACAGGAACTGATTTTACACAATGCCTTTTATATTAGAGGCAAAATTGCTTAACAAACAACTGTGTGGTCAAGGTGCACCACGGCAACTGTGTAGGCAAATCTAGCAGTCTCTAGGCACTTTGCAACAGCTCATATGAAACCTCATTAATTATTTCAGCAGAAGCTGAAGGACCTGAACAGGATCTGGGCTTTGTTTTGCTTGGCTTGGCATCCTGAAAACAGAGACACCTTCTTCCAAGATGTCTACAATTAAATAGATGGAAAAAAAAAAAGAAAAAGAAAATTTAGAAAGTGACACAGAGGGATGAAGTGCTAATGGTCACACATGGGTCAAAACCAAGTTATCTTCCAGGGTGACCAAAGTGGATGGTGGGGCTTGTAGAGTGAAGAATAACTTAAGTGGTCAGTCAGAACACAGACGGTCTTGCACTTACCTTCTCTTCTGGTTCAAAGGTTGCCATCCCATTATTGGAGACCCCTCAGATTTGCCAGGTGGGCTGCACATTGAAGTACTCTCTAGCTTATGTAATGTCAGAAAGAACTAAGTCACCAAAGACATTATCTGAAGGCTTTTAGTTAACCCTGCCTGTGTGAGCTGAGACAGACTAGGGAATGGTCGTTCAAGTAGCTCACTGAGCTCTGAGGGGTGAGGAGGACCAACACCTCCAGAAAAGATGCTGTGATATGCAACTTGGAGCGATAGCTTTTTTAACCAGCACAACTAGAAGCAGAGGAGGCCCGTGCTCTTAGCCACACAGTTCAGCTGGAGAGCCCCAAGGTACTGCTTCATCCTTTTGTTATTAGAAGAAACAATGCTAAGAGGACAAGGGTGCAAGCGCACTGCAGCCCTGGCTCAGTGTGTGAATCTGCACTCCTTGGCATTACCACAAAGTATCACCTTTCCAATCTGAATATTCTGTGTTAAGCTCTACTCCTCAGAAATAGCTCCATCTGCCAAAGTACCCCCTTTTCTATCTGTCAAATTCCTCTCTAATGTAATTCCTGCGTCATTCAGTGAACTAGGGCATGGAGACATAACTGAAAAATCAGCTGTTTCATTGTACAGAAGGGGGACCTCAATGCCACTGACAGTAACTACTTCCCAAGTTAACGGGAGCAGCATATGTTAAGTCCAGTAGTGTCTGAAATTACAGCAAGAGTAAATAGCCCTCATCTCCACCTATGCCAAGGAAAAGTTACATCAAGGGCATATTATCAGCCTGTGATATCTAAGAGTTTCTCACAGGCAACATGGACGAAGAAACCAAACTCTTTCTGAGCAATGGCCTTAATTTTAAATGGTGCCTCTTCTGCTATGAACCAGTGAACTAATTCCCTTTAGTGACTGAAATTGAAGCACGAATTTTAGGGCTAATTATTAGTTGCTACAAAAATTATCATAACACAACAAAAATAAGGGAAACAATTATATTGATATTTACCCCTTTGGCAAATACTTCCTGTCCCTGTGAGACAGGATATGAATAACATATCAAACACAAATAAAGAAGGTCTTGGTTCTAAGCTAACTAGTCCTGATGCTTTTTCCAGAAAAGAAGCAAGTGTATTACCATACTCAATAGCCCTGCAAATTCAGGTAGAGGGAAAGACTCCACAGAACAGATGCATCTCTAGCAGACTAAGTGAGATGAGGGCATAAAAAGGGAATACATTTATACACTACAGCAATACCTGAGGAAGAAAAGCATAATCTTATTAGTCCTATTATTATTCCTATTCTATTATTTCTTGCAATTAGCATTGAAAATATTTTTTCCTTTTTTTTTAAATGGATTTTGAAATCAACCCATGTTTTT